ACGATATAATATTTGTAATATTCAAAAGGATAAATTTTAAAATGCAAACTTATTCAAAACACAAGGCAAACTTGTACTTGTAAAAGTATTAAGAGACTTCAAGAACGAGACTCAGAGAGAACTGAAGAGTCTTAGTTGATTCACTAACCAAGGACCCATGTCGACGGCGGGCAGTGAGGCATATATACAGTAGCCGATTAGCGGTCTGTGTTGGACGTTGATGCGTGTTGAGATCGGCTTTTGATAGTTTTTTCATAACTTTAAGGTGTCATAAGTCTCAATTTTAAGCTCAAGTCATATTTACCGGCCGTTGGTTCGAGTTTTGGTATTTTTGGAGTCAAAATCAGGGAATTTGAGCCTGACACCGGTGTTTGAGAAGCAATAGGGACGAGTTGAGAAGCATTTTAGAGTTGATTAGGAGCATTGGAGATCAGTGAGGTGTTAAAGACAAAGTTTTGAAGACAAAAGAGCTCTAGAATTGGCTACGGGATCAAAAGAAGACGAATAGAGCTTGAAAACAACGATCAGGATGACGTTCTGTCAATCGTTCAAGCGTATCTTTTCTTAGGAACATCCAAAAAACATGATTCAAGTTTCATATGAAATCCAACTTCAAGGTCTAAAAATCATATGAAGACACCCTTGTGAGAATCTGAGAGAAGCAAGGTGAAACCAGACGATGAAGTCAGACAATCTCTGTTGAGATTTCAGAATGCAACCTTCCACCATTTTATTCATATATTTTTATTGGATGATTCAAATCCAATTTTGCAAGTTGTGTTGGATAGAAGACTTCATTAGCTACAACTTTGATGAAGGACGAATAGTCAAAAGTGAACTATAAAGCTGATTTCTGCTTGCAGTTGCCGCTTGGTGTATTGACGGTCTGCGAATAACACCTCTAATACTAATACCGGAGTAGAATGTTTTGGAGGCCCCCTTGGTAGTTGAGGCCCAAGGCAGTTGCCTGGCCCAACTGCCCTCAAATCCGCCTCTGATAACAGTTAGGGTCGTAAACGAATCAAATAATTTGTGCTCGATTCGCGATTCGAATTCGTATAAGACGATTTGAATTCATAATATTCAAATACAAATACAAATAAGAATATTAAATTTGATTCGAGTTGTTATCAAATACAAATAAGAATATAAATGTATTCGATTCGAATATTAATCAAATATATTCGATTAATAATAATGGTAATATTAATATCAATAATAATAATAATAATAATAATAATAATAATAATAACACTACAATAACTTTTAAAATATAGCAATACACTCAAAGTGTAGCCCATATATATACTTTTGCAAACAGATTCCAAACCCATTTGTAATAAATCAGAATATAAATACGAATACAAATCAATTTTTTGGATCAAATGTCTTTCAAATGCAATACAAATAATTATGCATTCGATTTGAAGAATAAAATTAGAGTTGTTTGACTTTGATATATACAATTATCAACTTATTTCACACATTATAATTTCTAATATGTGTGTGTTATTGTTTATTTCAAAAAGTTTGAAATATATTTATATTTATTAATCATAAAATTAATTCACTTTCACATACCGTGCACCATCTAAAAATACATTGATCCATTAAATTTAAATTCTAAAAATACATATTAAGTCATAGCATGCATTTACAACATAAAAAATACACAGTATAAGAAAAGTTATTTTAGAGTGATATTTGACTAATATTTAACCTATGCTCAAATCGATTCGATATTCGTATATGATTCGTTAACTATTCGTATTGCTAAACAAATACAAATACAAATCGAAATTAATATTCGTTTCATATTTGAATTCAAATTCGTATTCAAAATAAATAAATAAATACAAATACAAAATCTCATAATTTGACTCGATTCGATTCGTTTTACAACCCTAATCACAGTTGATGGGGTTATGGGACTAAGTCCAGAGCCTAATCGGCCCAGGCCCCGAACTTGGACCAGCAGGCCCAAACCCAGCAACCCAGAGCTCGAGTCGGCCCAACCGACCAGGCCAATCAAGGAGCGGGAGCCCAAGAGAGCCTGTCGACCAGCCCAACGGGGAGCCTGCCCTCCAGCCCGGCCAGCGGGGAGCCTGCCTTCCAGCCCAGCGGAGAGCCTGCCTACCGGCCCAACCGGAAGCCTAAGAGAGCATGTCGACCAGCCCAGCGGGGAGCCTACCTTCCAGCCCGGCCAGCGGGGAGCCTGCCTTCCAGCCCAGCGGAGAGCCTGCCTACCGGCCCAACCGGGAGCCTGCCTTTCGGGCTAGCGAGGAGCCTGTCCTCCAACATAGCGGAGAGCCTGCCTTCCAGCCTAACGGGGAACCTGCCTGCCGGCCCAACCGGAAGCCTACCGCTCGAGGAGCTCAAGCGTTCTGCCTGCTAGCCAGGCCGACCTGCCAGCCAAGCAGAAAGAGTAACGGCCAACAATCAATGCGATATTAATTATGTATTTAATTCCGTATTAATGTTGTAATTAATTGATCATTATTGTATTCGGCAGTTACCATTTGTAATCGCCTATAAAAGGCAAGTTCGATTCAAATAATAGACATGCTATTTTTGGCAACTAAACACATTTAGCTTCTTTCCTTATTCGTATTACTTTCCTAATTTTTGCTTGAGTGTTCTTAGGTAGCTTTCCTAAAAGCCTACGAGCGTCCTATTTTGGACCAACATTGGTGCTTTCATTGAGAGCCTCGATTGTCTCTCACATCACTTGAGTAGGAATCGCACAGGAAGATTGCCGGAATCTCGTCCCGACGTGACCATGTCTCAGTTCACACCGAGGAATCCACCTGGTCTGGCCGCCAGCGTGCCCTCAACAACCATGGATAGGACAGGAGGGTGGTGCGCCAAAGCGACCTTCGGAACCAATTGTCAGGCCACGACGACCTGAGGCCGACGCTCAACCACACCCAAGGTGAGCGCTCGGTCCGCAACCGGCGGGGGGGGGGGGGGGGGGGGGGGGGGTCATGCTCCATGCATGGACCCGGTTCGACTCAATGTCGGAGTGGAAGCCCTACAGGAAGCGACTCGGGTTATGGGGGCCTTGGCTCAAGGTTTCCAACAGATGGTGTCTGGCGGAAACGTGGGTGAGCCTGCCCGTCAACAGACGCCGGCAGATGTGGAGGTGTCCTCCAGGTGGCGTGATGAGCGACGCTCTGGATTCAACCAAAATAGGAGGGAAGAAGTCTCCCAGCAGCTTAGCTGACCCCATCGGCAGGCGGGGAGGGGCACCCAGCAGGGGCGCTCAATGCAGATGGAAGGAGGCGAGTCCTCTCGCCACTCTCACCGAGCGAGCAGCCGGACTGGCTCCATGGAGAGGCAAAACGTGGGGGCCCAACCTCACGTTCACAGGCGACTTGGAGGCGCCGCTGGACATGCCCAGCCCCGTGTTGGGGCTGTCCGGGGGAACCCACCGCCGGCCGAGGTGGAAGGTCTACGACAGCGCCTTGACGAGTTGAGAAGAAGGGTCATCGGGGGGGAGCCCTACATGGCCGACCTCCGGATACCCGACCCTTTCACCCGGGCAGTCATGGATGCGCCGTTGCCGAGGGGCTACAAGCCCTGCGCCATTGAAGCATACAAGAGCGCTTCTGACCCCCAACATCATGTATCTCGGTACCTTTCCTACATGGTGATGATGGGGTACGAAGATGCCATCCGATGTCTCGGTTTCTCTGCCACTTTGGATGGCCCTTCTCGACGTGAATGGTGCGTCTCTCTACCCGACGGGAGTATCACGAATTTTCGTGAGTTGGCTCAACACTTTCTTTTGAGGTTCACGAGCTCCCGAGACGTCAAGAAGAACTTCAGCCACCTGTTCAGCCTAAAACAGGGGAAGAAGGAATCACTGTCGACCTTCTTAGCGAGGTGGAGGACCGAGTCAGTCAAGGTTCAGGGCCTTGATGACAGGACCGGGGTGGCCATGCTCACAAACTCTATCCGATCGGGTGAGCTTTACAAAGATTTCATCAGAAGTCCCCCCACCTTGTACGAGGAGGCGCTTAATGTGACTATTAGATTTTTGAGTACATTAAAGTCTACTTTAATAGTCTAGGACCGGAATACATGGCCCATTAAGACACAACTACAAGTTCGAGCTCATCCCTTAATCCCTTATTATATAGAAGCATTTGAGGAGTAAATGAAATTAACTATGATAAAAACAATTATTATTATTAATAAAAAAATCGGTTCAGTTCGGTCCAAACCAATATTTTGAGAGTACAAACCGATTCTGGACCGTTTTTTTGGGTCCCGATTTTCGGGTCCCAAAAATTATCGGTTCGGTCCGGTTCAGTTTTTTTCAATGCGGTTCGGTTCGGTTTTCGGTTTTTCGGTTCAAAATGCCAGCCCTAGTATATACTGTAATAAAATGTCATCAGTTTGCATGCAAAATTAAAAAAATGAATTAAAAACTTCATTATACAAAAAAGAAAAAAATTAAAATTTCTCAGATATAACATCTAATAAGGGGTTAAAAAGAATGAGGTGTCAACCAACCATTCCAGCTCACTGGGTGGAAGGTTACCGTGTCCTAGCGGAGGTCTCGGGTTTGAATCCCGCTAGGCACATTTAGGTGAGAGGAGGGAGGTCTTGCTCCCAATGATTCTTCCTACCTTCACGGAGTTCCTACCAAACGGACAACTTTCATCATTATTACTCCCATTTTGGAAAACCTTATGCCCATTTTGGAGTATATTTTGGAGTATTTAATTTTCTATTAGTAAAAAAATTATTAAATTCAGATTTTGAAATTTATGATAAGACAAGTTTAAGGATGTTTTTCAAAAATTAATTCGGTAATATGTAGTCAAAATAGAATATGTGAATAGCGTAGAATGTGACGTTACAATTAGTTTAGTTTTAATGAGAAATAATTATTCCTACGCACGATACATGAGAACGATCGATGACAATACATGTTTGTGATAAATTAAAGATAATATAAATTTGATTCATGACAGTGCATTTTTAATCATAAATCATGCACAATTCATAAATTTGGGGAACCACAAGACCACACTCATTCCCATTATGTCATTCTCATTTGATCTCCCGCTTATGACCTTACATTACATTTCACACAATGTGTGTAAGCAAAAGTATTGTAAAGATGAGCAAGAAGTCAAACTATTAATTACATCCAATGGAAATTATACTCCGTATATAATAATTTTGAAATAATGAAGATAAGCTAAAATTTGAAATAGTTGACCTACTTTTCATTACTGCAGGGAAGAGCATATGCAAACACATGCTATGTTTATTTAATCATTAACGCTTAAATTACTTTTAATTAAATAAGATAAGATGGGAAATGTGTCTGTTTGAAGAGGGAATAGGCGATTAATAAAATACTACGCATATACGTAGTACGGAGTATATAGTAATATAGATGAGCTAATTAAGCCCCAATCTTTGGAGCAAATTGAAGGAGATCAAAGCCACTGCATTGCTAGTGAACTGCTTAGCCAGGAGTAGCTTGCCCAACACGTTGCCTTTGAGGGACATATCCCCCACCTGATCGAACGCCCTATCGCATAGTTTCTCTTCGTCCAAAGCTGCATTCATCCACCCTTTCACATCTTCCAATGTTAAGGCCTTGTGCCCTCCTGCCGGGGGCGGTGTCGCCGAACGGCTTCCGTTGAGCTGTTGCATCGTCTCGATGGAACTCCGCATCTTGACCACGGAACTTTCCAAGTGGGTCGAGCAGTTCTAATTAAGAATCACACAGTTCTTACATCATTATTATTATGTTTACATTAAAGGTAACATCGATAAAAGTTTATGCGAAGTAGGGAGTATATTTGAAAAGTAAACCGTGCTGCTTTTAATGTTTAATTTTATTCACAGTACAACGAATTAATTCGGGGACAAAATGTTTACAAAGTTTACGAGAGAAATAGGAAACTTTTTCCCTCACATGTACTATGTACTCCGTTCTTTTTTAATTGCAACAGTCCACTTTTCACGCTTGCCAACGCATAAGTTTGATCACTAATATCTTTCATTTCTTAATAGTAAAAACATTACAAAAAATCATATTTTGAAAATTTAAAATGAGAGGAATTTAAAAATATTTGTTAAATATTTAATTTATAATACATTAATTAATAAAATATAGTCAAAGTAGAATATGTGAATAGTGTAAAAAGTCCAATGTTGCAATTAAAAGAGAACAGATGTAGTATATATTTAGGAAAGTCAATAAAAGCTTTATAACCCTTTATTAAATCACAAAACGATATTCTGAAAATGATAGTAACAAGAGAAAAGTATTAGAAATAGGGAAATTTACAGTATTCATAACTTTCGGTCATTATCATTATTAGTCCCGTAACTTTAGTCACTTGCAAATTTGGTCATCTAACTAATTAATATTTGCGATTTAAGGACTTTTCCCCTGAAAAGTACACTTTCCGGCAATAGCATACCGGAAAAGATGTCGCCGGCGTCGAACTTTTCCGCCGGAAAGTGTACTTTGCTAGTGCTTAAAGTTACATGACCAAAAACGATAACAGCCGAAAGTTACAGGACTGAAATTGCAAATCTCCCTTAGAAATACTCCCTCCGTACCAATTTGATTTGAAAAATTTCCTATTATGGTTGTCCCAAAATGGTTTTCCACTTTCTATTTTAGGTATGTAAATAAGAATAAAGTGACAAATTTACCCTTAATTTTACTTTTTACCCACTAACTTAAAGATATCTACTTTTAAAAAGATGGGCAAAAGTGTAAAAAGCAAACATCATTTATTGTCATTCCTTAATCTTTGTGCCGATCAGAGTTTACAATTCAATTCAGGATGAAGGGAGCATGACAGGTGTTAATTCCTAAAATATGACTCATAAGTTTGTATTCCTAGATTTTGCATGTATGGTATATATTTTGATTTAATTTATTCCTCCATTTTAATTATTACGCATATGTATAAGTTTGTTAGTTATATATTAATCCTTCTGTCCCGAAAAGGTTTGCCAAATTAACTTTTCTTGGTTAATGACAATCAACTTTGACCAATGATATATTTTAATACGAAATTATTTAGAATATGAAAATTATACCAAAATATTCCTTATGGAAAATATTTTCATAAAAGTATAAAATTTATAAATTATATTCAAATATAATAACTAAAATCATTACTCAAAATTTACCATTATTGATCAAGAAAAGTAAATTTAGCAATTCATTTCGGGACAAGTCCGTACAAATCTATCCATGAAAGTTTTAGACTTTAGTCATGAATAAGATAAATTAAACCAACAACTTAGAGTAGTTTTATTCTTCCCAAGTAATAATGAAAGTTGGACAATTTAAGCTGACAATATGTACGTATGTACAAAACATCGGTCAATGTTGAAATTAAATCCACAATATTTTGTGCACATGTTCTGTACACAGTACACGCACCTCGTATATTTTGTTCGTTTGTGTGAGAAATTTTCTTTTTAACATTTTTAGCCGAATTACGACCTTGTTGAATTTGCTTTGATACCAGGTTCGCGGTTCTATCCTAAAAGTTCAATCTGAAAGTAGGAGTAGCTCAAAGCCTTATATAGTGTTTTATTATTTTATAGCTTTCCGCTGTGAGACAAATATTTCAACATGCCTCCTCAGCCTGAACCGAGTTGGACAATATTGGGGTATATAAATGGACCAAACAGACCTTTAACAAGCTACCCGCAATCATGGGTGCTAAACAAGCAGTCAAGCCACAATCTTAATTGGCTTTGATATCATGTTAAGATCTAGGGTTCCATCATATAAAAGGTCAACCTTGATAGGAGGAGTAAATCAAAGCCTTATGTAGTGTTTTATTGTTTTATAGCTTTAACACCCCGCGAGCCTGAACCGGGCTGGACAATATCGGAGTGTATAAGTGGGCCAAACAGACAATAGGCTCTAAACAAGCAGACAAACCACAAACCGGAATTGACTCTGATATCATGTTAAGGTCCGGGGTTTCATCCTAAAAGGTTAACCTGATAGGAGGAGTAACCCAAAGCCTTATACAGTGTGTTATTGTTTTATAACTTTCTGGTGTGGGAAAAATACTTTAACAATTTTTATTCATAAATACGTAATTTGAGTATATTTTGAAGAGCCCGTTTGGTAACACCGAGATCGATTGAATCGACTATTTCTGCTGAAAATTATGAAGTTCTGGGTGAAGTGGTTGTATTGGCTGGTTCTGCTGATTTATGAAAAAATTATCTTTCAAATATATTTTATTAATAAAATGAAGAAAACGTTATATGTAAAAATAGCTAAAATAGTCATATACAAACACTTCAGCCAATACAGCCAGAAAAATAACTCCGACATTACGTTTTCTTGTTATTACACAATTCAGCGCGCGAAAACAAAAGTTACGTGTTTATTTGGTTAAAAAGTCGGTTGGTAAGCCTGATAAGCCAAAAAACAATGTTACCAAACGAGCTCGAAGAGCAATATATTTGAGTGTGTATCTAATATAATGGGGTAATTGATGATATGATAATTTTCATGTTAAGAGATACGGAGTGTATTTTTTAAAAAAAATTAGAAGATTAATAAGTTGTCATTTAAATGTGGGAATTGTTTTCTAAAATAGAAAAAAAAACCTTTTCTAAATTAGATGCGCAAAAGAAGAAATCATTACCTCAAGGGCACCCTTGATCGTTAAGTTTTTGCTCCCGCCTGCAGTAAATGAGCTGATGAGAGTAGTCACAGTACTGAGAACGAGATCGGTTTGATTGCGGTTGACGTCGATGGCAAGCCGAGCCAGAATGCCAAGGTCTTTCTTCACGGTGCTTGCGAAGGGGGAGAGGGATGACTTACATAAGCTTTGGTAGGGTGCAGAAGCCTTAATGCACGTGGCGGAGATGAACTCCGTCTCGTCTGTGGTTGTGGCAGCAGCGGTGGCGGAGAGCTGCCTTGAGTTAAAGGCAAGTGTGAAGAAACAAATGATCATTAGGGGAAATGCAGCAGATGATGAGGTTTTCATGGTGTTAGTGCAGTGGATGGGTTGAACTGGACTGTATAGTCTTCTAATTTAAGGTTGAATAATATAATGTGACACAGAGAATGATATATGGGTGGTATTGAAGTGAGGGAGTTTAAATAGGAAAACTTGCATGATATCAAATTACTCTTATACCCTCATTTACATTTGAATGAGATCATGGATCCAGGTATCGATTACTGCCTTTTTTTTCTCTAAGCAATGTTAAAAATTAAGTCTTAGGGTCTTACCAACCAAAATATTTTAATATAAACACATTATTTTATTTTACTTAGGTGGTTGAATTGGTCGCTACTAGGTTATTACTTTGTGAAATAAATGACACTAATAGTTTTATGTTAGAACCGACTATAATGTTTGCTTTCTTATTTTATTAAGAAAATAGATCTCAAATAGTTTTTCATTATTTAAACCTTACCCTAACCCATATACATGAGCATTCATATTAGCTAATCTTCAAATCTACCATCCCATTGTCATGTCTGTTCCAAATGTCACTCCTTGTTAAGATTTTAAATATGAAATCGTACTAGAAATGCATGACAATAGGAGTGTCTCTTCTGATTTTCTCGGCTTTACTTTCCTGTTTTTGAGTTTGTTTTCTAAGACTTCTCCAGATCTAATAATAATACATAGTATGATGGATTTTAGAAATGCATGCAATTATTTGGCAACATAAGAGAAACTAGGAAAAATGGATGGTATACTATCCAATTTAGTGATTTACTAGAAAATATTAGGGAAAAGTACGGAAAATGTACTTGTGGTTGGGTCCGTTTTCAGATAGAGTCATGTGTTTCATTCTTTATCAAAGTAGTTCATGTGTTTGAATTCTGTTATCACAAAAGGGTCACGCCGTTAAAAACGTCTGAAAAAGACCGTTAAAAGTAACTCCGATTTTCAAAAGAGCCCGATAAGTAAAAGAAAAATACCGAAAGATGACCTCCAAACCATCTTCGCCTTTGGATTTTTCAGATATGTTTAAATTATTTAAAAAAAAAATGATTTCGCTAATATCACTTTTTCGATGGACTTTCCGGTGACAAGGGTGGCTGAAAACAAAAATTAAAGATGGCCTAGCGGTCGTCTTATTGAAGCGCACCTTTCGGTATTTTTCTTGTAGTTTTTCGGGCACTTTTGAAAATCGGAGTTACTTTTAACGGTCTTTTTCTGACGTTTTTAACAGTGTGATCCTCTTTTGATAACGGAATTCAAACACATGAACCACTTTGATAAATAATGAAACACATGACCCTATCTGAAAACGAATTCAACCACAAGTACATTTTCCGTACTTTCCCAAAATAATAATATACTACGTATCTAGGGTTGTCCATATACGCCTTATACGGCACCAGCAGCACCAAACCTATATAATCTGTTGGATGCAGAGTAGTTAATGTCTATAGAGTCTGGTTCGGAAAATAAAGTTACTTTTTCCCGTGAGAAATGAGAAATTTTCAAAGCAATGCATATTATAATTCATGGAGTTGCACATACATTTCTTGTTAAAAAAACGCACGGTTCAAATATGCATATTTGTTTAAACAATGCACATTTTCTTAATTATGGTAGTGCATATTTCTATTTCTCATAATGCATAATACTCAAACTAATGATCCAGAATCATTCACATTTAGATCATGTTTTTGATCATATAAACCAAATTATATGTGTGTGTTGATATTTATTTTAGATTCTATAAATATGAGAAGAGTTAGAAAGTATTTAATTAATCATATCAGATCACATTTTCAATCCACCTAAAATGTGATACATTATGTTTCACCAATTATTAATTGTACTCCCTTCGTCTCATTAGAAGGTTCTCATTTTCCTTTTTTGGACGTCCCGTTAGAAGGTTTCCATTTCCATTTTATGAAACAATTAACAATCTTATGTGACAAATTAATTACTAAATATTAAAAATAATACATTTATAACATCACAGTTATCAATACTAACTACATTATAATATATACCTATTAAAATTATTTCTCAAAATATACTCGAAGTACTTTATTTATTTATTGCCTAAATAACCGTGCCGTAATATAATATACTCGAAGTACTTTTTAATTATTGCACATAATTCTTGTGATATTTATCTTCTCTTTTTTGTGTCAAGTATTAGACTTTTAGGGATAGGGTTGAATTTTATGGTGGGAGGTCGCTACGTAGCATACTAACATGTGGTGTCATACCACTACAAAAAACACGGGATTGACAGGAATTTTGGCATGAATTTTGGCAGAGATATGTCAAATCCGTGCCAAAACACTTTGACACGACCTATTTGGCATGAAAAATCGGTAAATCTATACCAATATCCGTGTTAATCCCGTATTTTTTTCGTAGTGAGCGAATATACAATAATTTACCGTGTAGTAGTTACTTGTGCATATTATAATATATATTGTGTATGATGAGTACCTTGATCTAATTACTCGGAGAGATGAGCAACATCCATCGTTTTTTAAATTTATTTTCAGCTACTTACATGGAAATTCTTTTTGTTTGAATTTCTTTGGGAAATAGGTCAAATAGGTTCTCGAATTAACTTAAAAAGTGCAAATCACTCCTTATATAGGAGGCTCTGTCCGACCATCGCCATTTGGGGTGGAATTTTTTGATGAAATTTTTTGAACATCTTCTTTATTAAGTATAGTTACTCATACCAAATTTCAGCTAAAAATGCAATCGGGAAGGTAGTCAAACGAAATTTTGAAGATAACTACCTGTAATTAATCTCGGGTACACAAATCAGAAATCGAGGTAGTTATCTGCGCTGTAATTTTTTGATAACTACACAGTTAAACAGCGCAGTACATTTCAGAAAATCATTTGACTGTCTTCTTGGTTGATTTTTTATCTGAAATTTGGTATGAGTAAACTAGACTTAACGAAAACGATGCTCAAAGAAGTTCATCAAAAAATTCAACCGGGAACCATCGCAAATGGCAACGGTCAGACAGAACTTCCTGTAACACCTCGCCGCCCCCTGCAGGACCCGAGGTAGTTACTCCAGACACCCTCCAGACCTCTAGTATTGTCTTCACAAACCACCACGAGCCTTTACCGCGCAATTTGACTTCCTAGGGGGTCACCCATTCCAAGACTACTCCCGTGCAAGCACGCTTAAATTTGGAGTTCTTGGGTGATGAGATCCCTTAAAAGGAGATGCACTTCTGTTGGTATGAATAGTACTATTAATCTTCTTAAATTAATCTCGGGTATTACACTTCCTACATAAGGGGTGATTTTCTCTTTTTAAGTTAGTTCGATGGCCTATTTGACCATTATCCCAATTTCATTCCATTGTAAATGGTAATATCACACTTCATTTCATGATTAAATCAACTTTTTCCTTTCCATTGTTGCAGGCAAAGATCTACGTATGAGCTATGGTGGGATGAAGTTCATGGTAATTTAGATTTTTACAATTTTTTTAGTATTATATGTTGGATTATTTATTATGCAATGCTAAGTTATGACTGTTACATGAATTATTTTTGCCATAAAATCTGTGTAATTCCTTTTAAATATTAATTTTATATATCTTGTGTCATTTTATATATCTTGTATTTGTGTAAAGGATCAACATTGTACAATATCTTTCATTTTGGGAGGAATTTGCGTAATTTTAAAAAGTCTTCTATTTATTTATTTATTGTTGGGACGTACTTCAAGTCTTTATATTGGTGATAGTTTTCTCAAATTCACTCATTTCAACCAAACATACCCTTACCAAAAGACACTTAATAAGTTAATAGTGCTCTTAATTAGTTGAGACTTGGCAAAATATCACACGAGTTACTACATCGGCCTATACGCGTAACGCTCTTACTCCGTTTTATTAATTGCAATTTTAAACTATTTACATTCTTGACTACATTTTACACTAATATTTTATGAAAAGTATTTTTTAAAAAATACTCAGTATTGTTCAATTCATCTCATTACACATTTTCAATATCTTATTTCTAAACCTGTTTTTACTAATAAAGAATTAGATATATTTACGGTCAAATATGTGCATTGCAAATGTGAAATATCGACCGTTTCACCTATAAGGAAACTCGCACTCATGCACTATTTTCTTAGTTATGATCCTTACGGAGTATAAAATAAGAAAATTCTACACTACTCATATCTTATACTATGTACATGCACAAAGATCAATTATATATTACGATTAAATAAGTAATTTAAATATAAACAAATAATGAAATTATGAGGTACACAAATCATATGCATTAGAAGTACAGTATCCTCAATGTCTAGTGTTATAAAAGAAATTGTTCAAAATGTGAGTAAAAATATAGGCAAAGTTTTAAAATAAGATTTAGTATCTTTCATCTCTAAATTGAAAATATGACTCGTTTAGTCCAATTAAAAAAGAAAAGAATAAATCTTTTCTAGAGAGGAGTTCATGAATACCATTTTGGATGAAATTAACAATGGTTCAACAATGTTTCAGAATATTTTGGCTTTCTATAATTTTTTAGTCAAATTTGGTCTATTTGTGTTTGATTTTGTTAGAATGAGTCTCTTATTATCTGGTAAATAATGTTGGTTTTATATTTATCTTACTATTTTCTAAATCTAGTCTATTCGGGTCTAATCTGATTTGGTAAGGTTTGATCTGGTTTTCTCTGATCATCACAAAAAATAATTAATGATTTGGCTAGGAATGCCGTTTGGTCATGATCACTAACTATTTGGAACACAATTGTGCCAAAAATATGTTATGATCCGTGTCAAACCCAATTAATTTTTGTGCAATTTTGTGTCATTATCGTTTTTTTTGTCGTAGATATGGGTTTCATTTTATTTTATCTGCTCCGGTAATCTGATCTGCTTAAGTGTTATTTGGTATTATTTGTTTTGATATCATTTGAGAGTGAAATTAATTCTTTTAAAAATATCCTGAAATTTTCTTTACGATGAATAAAACATAATTTATATAATAAAATCATTCATATTAATATATTAATGAATGGAAAAATAAGGAATGAATAGCGGAAAAATAAAAGCATGAGCCTTTGCTTCCAACTTTGTTAAATA